TACTGATCCAGAACCTGAATCTTAAACATCATGATTAATCTTTATAGCTTAATATTAGACTCCACAAAATAGGAAGTCAGACATCATAGCCTTCTGATTTCGTACGACCTGTGAATTTGTGACAAGAGATAGGGACAAGGGAGCAAGGGAATCTTTGGGAGATGTGAGCTGCATGCATTGCTCACCATCGGGTCATTTGTACTTTTCTGAATAGTGAGTAGGTCATAGAAGACAGATGCAGGGAGGGGATCATTCAAGGAATCCCAAGAAAATGTTTCCTTAATAAAGTTCTTAAAGGGAGTACAAGTTCTAAAACTACTTAATCATGGAGTTCATAACAAAAAAAATGAGAAATTTTGAGGATAAGGTGGGGGGGTAGGATGTCCATGAATGGGGTAATTGTAACAGATAAGCATGTCAAGTTTTACAGTGTTAGATTGAAAAAGACACTCAAAAGGACAAGAAGAATCATAGTAAATGGCAAGTTGACAATCTTTTCCTCCACTTCCTATGTTCGTCTTCTGTCACCCTTGCTTTGCTGCCATTCAAACACGCCAATGTCTCCCACTTTAGAAAACCCCTCATAATGACTACTGCCACCACTTGTTTTTCTTCATGCATGCATTTTCCATTTCCCTTCTTAGGCACTTTTCTTTTCTATATTCATCACATGTTGTAAGTCAAATTTTTAACTTTCACCTCGAAAGGCATCAAGGTGTTGGAGACTGCCCATTGTCTAGGTACCCTGTTGTTATCAAATTTTTCCAGCCCATTTTCCCAAGAAAATTAAAAAGAAAAAAACAAAGTGACAACCATTACTACCTCACTAGCTATACATCTTTCCATTTCCCATTTCCATAATGTAATTTTCTTTTCTATTCCCAAAAGCAAGGCCACCGGTTCTGCCCTTATCTTGTCTGGCATATATCATATAAAAATAAAACTGCTCACATGGAAATTGTTGAGTTAGGAATCAATTCTAGGGCATAACAATCCCGACATCCTAAGGAATTTCAAAGAGATTATATAATATTTTCTCTTTATTAAATCTTAATATATCTTGAATATGAATATTAATTACCTAATATATATATATATTGCTAGAAACTTTAGCATATTCTAGCTGGAACCATAATCATAAAAGAGAGAAAAAAGGCAAAGTTGCAAGAGGAAATAGGAACAGGTACCTACCCCAATGGCCAAGTTCAATGAAGCTAGAGCTGTAGTGCTGGCAAGCCTCAGCCTGTAGGTTTTGTTTGGATGTACATGCAGGATTTGGGGTGCACATTGCTCATTCCCTCTAAACTTGCACTGGCTGACAGAAGCATTGTTGCCGAATTTTGCAGCCAATGAACAATTGAATTGCCCTCTTCCATTAATCAATAGACTCTAACTCCAAAGAAGAAAAATGGAAAATTAATTAAACATGCGAGATTTTCTTTCTTGTGAGCCAAAGATGAACAGTAGCAGGAAATAAGGGTGAAGAAAGTTAAAAAGTTTTAGATTATTGGTATTGGCTTTATTTGGAATGAGATGACACTATGATGAAGATATTCCAACCACCATGTACCATCATGGGCAATTTTTTTCAAATTAAGTAATGATACCATTAACTACAAATTTTTTACACGTATATCATGCCAATTGTTATATTTGTAATCATCATAGTTATAGTGTCACAAATCCATATTTTCAATTTAATTTATTTAAAAAATTTAAAATTTATTTCATCACTTATTGACATTATCCGTAACATTTTATTTTTTATTTTTTTACCATAAAAGAGAAGGATCCACCTTAATTCGAATTTATTTCAACTTAATATTTTTCATGAGAAGTCCTACATTAATAAAGAATTAGATACACTCTGATTATATCACTTGTGTTACAGATACATATTTTAGATTAAAAAAATCTATTTATTAGATGAAAGAATATTAATACTTAAAAATTGAAGACCCATTTTATCTTTCCTTGTGAAATTCATGATAACATGCGTCTTTATGATTATTATTGTTAATTGTTTAGCTTAGTGCCAGTGCCACCAAATGAAGTTGCAAAAGTGGCTGCAACGCAAGATTTGCACTAACTAAGTCAACCAACCTTACAGTAATTAATATGAGTACTACTATCCATTATTTAAATTAAAAAGAATTATAGGGTAAGGCCACTTCTCTAATGCTATTATTACTCTTTTCGTCTCTTTTGATTATGATGAATGCTAGTAGTGTTAAGTTTTGTACCTGGGGCTCGCCGATCCAACGGAATGGCTTGGAGAAAAGGCTAACCTCTTGCTCATGAACATTTTGGTGCCACCAATCACTCAACAAGAGGTTGAACTCACCGTCATAATGGAATGGCTCTTTCTCTCCATCTGCCACGTCCACTATAAGGGACCCATACAAGCCAGCTGATCTTTGCATTCCATAGTGCCCGTGATACAAGAATGTTCCAGGCTGCACCAGAACAGTTCCACAACATTAGTTTTTCCCTTACCTATGGTGTCTTATTACTTGTAATACTATAGACATTCAATAAAAAGACTAACTTAAAATGGTATATTTTGCAACTTGCAGCTTTGGGAGTACAAGTGTTTCCCACTTTGGATCTCGTCCTGGAGTTTGAACTTTGGTTCCTTGTGAAGACCAGAACTCAACAGCAAAAGAGAAGAAAGAGAGATTGAAAGATTACCCTGTCAACTTTGAACCTGTATACAAAAGTTTCTCCAGGGTTGATAGCACATTGTGAAATGGAAGCAGTCCCATCTGCCCATGGTGTTCCAAGCTGATAGAAGAAAACAACATTTTACAGATATATTATGGCACTGCTTCACATGAAAAGATTCTTGTACAAATTGTTTGTATCGAGAGAGAGAGAGAGAGAGAGAGAGAGAAAAGCCAAACCTGTCTGATTCCATGCCAGTGAATGACAACTCCCTCGGTGTGAAGCTTGTTGGTGAGTTCCACAACAATGGTGTCTCCAGCTTTAGCCCGTATGGTCGGCCCCGGAAACTGGCCATTGATACCCATCACAACACGTTCGAGACAATCTGGAGTCCTGTACATGTACTCCACTTCCCATTTGAAGTGCCTAGCCTTGGAACCCAGGGAAACATGGATCAAAGACAACAACACAATGCACCAGAAAACAAAAGCCCTGGAGTCCCAACACTTACAACCCATTTCCCAATACGGAAAACCAGGATGGATAGCGGGGGAACTGGAGAGAGAATTCACCAATTGGATGGACCTAAACTACACTAACTCAACCAGAACCTAAAGAGATAGCTAGCCTCCTAGCCTTCTATCCGTCTTTAAATAGAGGCTCTGTAGCAAGGTTTAGACTTAGCCTTTGGAATTTACTCCTGGAAATTAAGCTGCTCTTTCTGCTCTACTTTAGTAGTATAATTAGCAACTTAGCAAATGTCTGGTTAGGAATTAATGTGACCCTGATGGCCTGTGGGCACATATTCTTTACATCATGTACAACTAGTGCATGGGGATCAATCTGGTCTGGTCCTTTTCGTATCGTGAAGGTTCCCTTACGAATTTGTGCCATGAAGAATTTCTACAAAAAAAATATCTTCCCAACACTTGATGCTAAGGACCATCGCTTGTTCTTTTGATATACTACTGTTCGAGCAATTAAACATGTCAAGGAGTTGCTGAATCAAAAGGATAAAACGTGGAAGAAAAAAATCTTCCAGGCAAAGAAATATGTCAATCCCCTAGTAATAATCCAATGGCTAAAAGCAAACTTGAAACTTGAATCCCAGGAGTATGCCCCAAAAGCTGGCATTTAGTCAAAAGTAATTCTATTATTTTAGTATTGTTTTGGTATCTTCCTTCACTTCATTTATATATCTTACTTTCTTAAAAATGCCGTTATAACATAACGGTGTCTTCTATATAACAGTCACATTTCATTAGAACGTTATATCGATAAAATATTTAACACAAATCTTTATTTATTCGATACTTTAACCTTAACCTCAATCTTAGAATATTGGTTACCTATTTAAAGGTTTTTTAAATAATTAAATATTCCAGAACCCAGAATTTAATCTAATGAGTTTGAGCCAGCTTGTGAAGCATTATTACTATTAATTTTAGATTTAGGGTTCAAACACAATCTTGGTCAGATCATACGAAGCTTCACTCAACACACGAAACAATCACAATCAGAGCCTTAAATCGTAATAAATACATGTCAAATAATCTTTCCGTTCCTTTTTTTTTTTAATTTGTTGGAATGTTTCCAAATAATTTTTTTTAAGCACTGAATACACTTACTTTTTTATATTACAAACTTATGTTTCATATTTATTTTATTTTATTATATTGAAAAGTATTGAACATCTATATTATAAAAAAATAAATTTTAATATAAACATATTAGAATCAAAACTTTTATTTTAATTTTTATAAAATTAAAGCAAAAAAGAGAGACAAACAATCAAAAACAGAATGAGTAGGCCATTTTGACCTAGAAACTAACTTAATTTGCTTTGTGTATCCATTTCATAATATTCGTACTATAAATTAATTGACTACCATATTATATTAATTAATCGACATACAACACGGTCTTAATTCGTCGAGTTTCTTTTATTTTTATTTTTTTGAAAAGTAAGAAATCGACAAATTTTCTTAATTTAAAATTGCTGTGTTTTTGCCCAAAAATTGGTGGAGAATATCATCCAAATTTATAATGTGAAGATTAGAGCTAATCAACTTTTATTATAGTCAAAAGCAAAGAAGAATAAAGATTAAAACTTTGTAAAGAAGCCCCTAAGAGAAAAAATATATAAGATATACAAAATTTTAAAAATTTGAGAGGCAAGTGGCGATCCCATGTAATTCCAAAATCAATCACACAAGCCTGTAACATATCCTTTAAAGTCTGTATAGTCATTTTAGTCTGTCCATCAATCCAAAGATAAAAAACAGTATTAAAATTAAGTTTAGTCCTCAAAATCGTTTGGAATTTATCCCAAAATTGACTGATGAACTGAATACCTCTATTCCGTGCAACGACACGATTTCCTCAATGTACAATCTAGCATGTTGTGTCGCTCTCAAAGCTCCACCCTAGCATGTTGATTGATTCCAAGTCAGTTGCACCTAAATACCCAATATATATATATTTTTTATTTATTATTAATTCAATTGGTTACAACTTTATGCATAATCTTCACGTGCAATCGGGTAACTTGTTCTTCCGGTCAGTTTGTTGATAAATATGTTATAATTAGAATAAGTATAGCCTTGTGTATGACAAAACGAGCAATTTATAACAAGAAAATACTACATTAATTCATGCAAAAATATTTCAATAAAATTAGTGAGATATTTTGTCTAAGGCTCGTCGACTGATTTACGTGCAATTGATTTATCATATATATATATATATATATTTGTTTCTCCGTTAAAAACTATTAAAAAATTTTCAATTAATTTTTATCAGATCCTAGCAATGGTATTGTAAATTATTTTTGATGAAAATTTTTTAATAAAAAATGGATCGTTAAAAAAAATATATTTTATATTGAAATTTTAATTTTTTTTTAATAAATTTATGGATGATAGCTGTGTATTCTAACTGTGCACTGTTTTTATAGTGATGATGTATTCATGATATCAAGTTGACGAATAAAGGCCAAAGAGAAGCAAGCATAATTCTTTTTTCGTTGAATGTAAGCCAAGCCTAGTGTCGGTTTTTAAATAATAATAGTTCCAAGGTTTTACTCGGTAGCTGCATGGGTCTACACTACAGCCTCAAGGACAATCAAATTCATTGAGACGAAGGCATTTCAATGCATAGACAATCAAACTCAAATCTATAATCTCATAGTTATTATAATTCTTATTTTATAATTATAATAATAACAAAATCGATACTGGTAATGCAATTCGTTAAGTCGACCATCATTCAATTGTTTCATAATCAACAAAACATACTATCAAATCATACTATAATCGTAAAACATTGTATCATTAATTCATCTTTTTTACATATTTTTAAAGGGTCAAAAAATAATATTCAATTGTCCGTGGATTAATTATATACTATTTTCATAACTATGAAAAAGAATAATGCATAGTTTCCTTGTTAGTTTCCACCAGTCATGATTAAAAATGTGTACATAAAAAATGGAAAAAAAAATAAAATAAAAAGTAATATATAAGCTTTGGATGAATTCAATCTCTCTTGGCCTTTTTCCCATTGTCATAATCATGCTTGCTACTTTAATAAAAAAAATATTAACGGTTTTTGTCTCAATACTTTTATCTTATCAGATATAATGATTTATTGCTTTAATTATAATATTTTATTTATAAAATAATAAATTTCATTTCCGAATTAATCCAATAATTACATATTATGTCAAAAAATATATAAAAGATATATATATTTGTCGTTTACAATATCAAGTTTACAGTTTTTTTTATTATTTTGCTTAATTTTTATGATTTTTGATTCTATAATATAAAGAAAGAAAGTTGAATTGAGATTCTCTTTATTTGTCTTAGTGGATGTCTTTGTTATTTTATGGTCGACATTGATGAGCCAACTGAGTTTGGTACACCCATGCCTTTTGATGCCCCCAGGAGAGCTTAGAGCTGAAAGAAGATTTAATTAAAAAAATAATAAACTCCTTTTTGGAGATTAGGAATTGCTAATGATGAATAATTAGTTTATGTTATATTAAAGTTAAAAAATATATAAAACGTACGTATATAATACATTTTAATATAAAAAATATTTCGAGGAAAATTGATTACTAATTGACTACACAGGCTGGTAGGGTCTTCTCAATTCCATTGATTGCATAAGCAAAAGTCAAAAAAGATTACAATTAGCTTTCCGTTCTCATGTGTGTTTTCTCATTCATTTGACTTTCTGGACAGCTTACCCTTCATGAAGGGCTAGGCGTGCCATCCTTATCCACCGATTTAAAACGGCGTTCTCATTGTCGTTGATCACTCTCCGTTTATTTTCTTTAAAAGTGTTGGAGTCAAAATCGAATTTATTTTGATATTATTTATTATAAAATTATTATTTTTAAAAAAAAATTAATTAAATATAATATATAATGTCATTACTTATAAATCATCTAAAATTCCTTTACTTATTCCATGTAAGATTTTTAAAAATATTCTACCTATTTTCTTCTTAAAGTGCTAGGCATATATCATCTTTTTACCGACATAAAACTTAAATTACATGCCATGACACAGGACAATATTCTTGACCTAATGTTGTGTTCCTGTGCCTCATTGAGAAAAAGGTAGATTCTTGCCTTGTTTTATATCCCAAGCCAGCAAACTTTTCACACATATATGTATATAATTTGAATTGCTTAATTCACAAGTTTTCTCAGTGGTGGCAAGCATCAAGCCATGGATGAACACAAATATGACTTGCATGTTGTCCCAAAAGTTGAATGTAATCCTATTCCTAGGTGGAAAAATGATGGATGGTTCGTGGTTTATACAGGGAAAACCAAATGGTAGGAAAGGATATTGTATAGTACTTGAAGAGCTGAACTTTTGTTATCTAGAAACTGGGGGCAAAAGTTGCAGAAACAGTAGAGAACTTACATTTCTGCAAAATGGTAAGGTTGAGGGGCCCCAAGTTCCAGCTGAATGCTTGACAACTTCAATCTTCTTCTCTTTCTTGGTGATGGGACATAACTTTGCAAGTGCTCAGCAGGAACCAGGTTCCCCAGCTTTGTGTTATAAATATTCTTGGACATTTGTTAAGTAATGTCAGTCAACACCTTGGGATTTCAATAATTCCAGGGAAAAAAGAAAAGAAAAGAAATGACTCCAACTTCTGTCTGAAATGGATCTTGAAAATCCAAATAGCTAGGTTGTCATTGGATGTCTGGCATGTTTGCAATGATTGGAAAGTTTCCCAATTGTTTAATTCCTTTATTTTTTCCATGTTGGACACCATGGATGCAGGTATGCTTTCACTGTTGCTTAAGTAAGTACCCTTAGCCTCGTCAAATCTATTCATTTGTTCTTTTTCCATGGTGGCAGTGCTTTTAAAGAGAGGAGAAAATGGACCCCCTCCTCCCAAAATCCCATATGTTAGTTGTTTACATAAAATCTCTGCTGTTTCTTCCCTTCCAAGGGAGTTTAGGGTTTCCAAATGCGGATCAAACTTCAAAGGATTCTCAGAGAATTTTCAAAATGTGTTTTGAGATAGGAATATCAGATGATGAAATATGGTCAAAACTGCAATATTCAAACCTGGTAATAAGCATCTAATTCCCTACAAAACCAGAGAATTTAAGGCTACCCCTTAACTTTGCATGTGCAAGATTTTCAAAAGACATAGTTCACATAATATCAAACAAAATTTTG